GTGAACCAAATTTTGTTGGATTTATCATGAAATGTACTATTTAATAAAAATATGGAACCTACTGTTTTTAGTATTTTTCTGAGGGAATTAAATTGAGCTAGATAAGTGCTTTTATATTTGTTTCTATCTTATAAAATGTATAACTTGAGCTAGGGAAATGCTAAAATTGTGATTCAATTTTGTGGGTCTTGTGTTGGCATGCTCTAACTAGGAAAAATACTAAACCTATAGAAGACATAGTTTAAATATGGTCTTTCTATTTAACCTTGATTATTTGCTAGTTTCTAGTGAAAATAAATGGGGTAAAAATATATAACATGTGATCATGCAAATTTTTACACAGTGGTATTATGCTAGGATGGAAGTAAGAAAAATATGAAATCTGTTGTTTGACACTTTTTACTAGGCTAAACTATTTTTTTGCTAAAATAAGCTTATGCAACTTGTCATTTTTGTAGAGGTTGCTATACTTATCCTAATGACATAAAATTTGTACAGTAGACAACTGGATTGATATGTAATATACTGTAATTATCTTAGAATTTATTGAGCAATGGAAATATTTATCCTCTAAATCAACCTATTATATAAGGAAAATTAATAAATGAATATAAATAAATTATTTGGGCTTAACCATGATGTTTTCTAGGGTGCTTGTGATGCATATGATCTTTTTATGTTATTAGTTGGTCTTAGAAGTGATTGGTTGTAGGTAGCTAGTTAATTATTGCTTTTTGTAATTTAACTAAATGGCTGCATGAGTAGTTTCTGTTGTGTTGACAAATTCAGGATGATAGTTACCTTTTCTGTGAAACTTGTTAATAACAAAATTGTAGATAACTTACTCATATTGCTTGTCCTAAAATTTCATGGTCATATTCCTAATAGTTTAAGAGTTATAACTGTTAGAAGTCAGCTATCAGATTTGCTTGTCCTCTAGATAGATCTGAAAGATTGAATTGTTTGACCTAGATAGCTACTGAATCACCTTAATATGATTAAAATAAGGTTGTAGGAAATTTCATAAGCTTTCCAGAAAGTCTACAACCATATTGTTTGAATGTGTATAACTCCAGTTATGGTCAAAACAAGTAGTTGCTGTCTTGCAGCCCAAAAAATGCTAAATAGGTGTTTGTTTAATTACTAGAGAGGAGATATGCATCTACTCAGTAAAAAAAGTTAATCTTGTTATCACCCTAATACCTTGTTGTTAAGGACATTTATGTTTATGCATCATATCATATCATCCATATCATTACCGTGCATTCTTGTATCTTATTTTGCGCTCATGTATATAGGATCGCTAGAAGGAATCACACTCTTAGAGTTTGAGGTAGAGGAAGAGGAGAATTAGGAGGCACCACAACTGGTAGCCCCCAAAAGCGAGGAGCAGGCTCCTGAGGAATTACCGGAGTGCCTCGATCATAGGCCTACCTCCTTTCTAAAAGGCAAGCCCCGGAGCATTCTAAGCCTCCTATGTTTTTACAAATATCACTTGAGTCCTTTATGTTTGATGCATTAGGTTATAAGAGTTGGTTGGAAACACTTGATGCATAGAACTACCTTGTTTAGAAATATACCTTGAACCCTATGTAGGTCCAGGATCGAACATATGCTTAGCCATGGTTAGACCGGTAGAAGTCAGGTGATTTTCTGTTACCTGCGAGATATAGGTGGATACCGAAGCACGGTTGGCTATATTTGCTATCGTGGAAAATAACCATAGGATGTTATCTAAGTGGAGACCGGGTGGGATCTTATATGCACATGGTGTGGGTTGGCTACTTTGATCCCGTCTATGTTGATTAAGGACCATATCGTTGTTGGCACTTCTGTCGAGATTGAACACATGCCTCTTATTTAGCTGGCCGGATAACTTGTTTCGACCGCGAAGCTGAGTAGCTCAACTCAGGCTGGGCCTCGTTCTGTTAGAGTGCGCACTCTGGATGGTAGTAAGGATGTGCGGAGAGCCAGACATGAGCCCAAGGGCAGGCCAGGCCTGAATGTCCTGGCAGCTGGTTGTCCCTGGTTGTACAGCGCCGATTGAACCCGCAAAATGCGTACCTGAGTTGTACCAAAGGTGACCCGACACGACCCCGATAGGGAAAGTGTGGGTTTGTGTTAGGTATAACTGCCCAGCTGGTTGCATCCGATTCGAATTGTTGTCTCTCCTGGATAGTGAGAAACTCGACTAGTCCCAGCATCGTAGTAACTGAACTATGGAATTTGATGGTTATATTGGACATGGGAACGCTACACCGGCTATGGTTATTATTGTGATGCTACATAATGATATATCACATATTTGGTACATGGTAGTTGTTAATCTAGAGGTGAATAGCTATAATTAACTTGATACCCGAATTATAAAATGTATAATTGAACTAGTGGCTTTTTATGCAAAATATTGTCAAGTTAGCTCCACTTATAAAGCCTTGCATGATTCTTGGAGTCACATTATTTTTAGTTTATGATAGGTAAGTCTAGCTGAGTACCTTCTTGTACTCATGGTTTATTTCCCCACTTGTTGCAGATAATACAGTCTATCATGGATATTGTAAGAACTACTTCTGTCCCACCGTGGACGAGGAGTAGGCCCTAGGCAAGGCGCTTCTCATTAACTCCTCTATGATGCTTTTGTGGGTTGTGATCGTAAACTGGCAAAGTATTTGAACGATGGTGTGAGATGTTTGTTTCAAACTGTATTTGCTTTTGCTACTACTTCATTTGAACTTGGTTTGTAATAACTTTAATTGTACTCCGATATATGGTGAGGTAATTGTGAACTTTATGTAATATGTGGCATGCATGTTGAATCATGTACGATCTTGGTTGTATGTTGGTGATGAATCGAGACCCTTCGTGGTACTCGACGGACTACCGGGTTTATATGGGCTCAAGTATGACAGTGCGGTCGTTTCGGTGGTTGCCATTGTACTTGTGCTCTTATAAATTGGTCGGTTCTATCACAAAAGGCTTCACGCAAAGACAAGGCATAGATTACAATGAGACATTTTCTCCAGACTCATGTAAGGATTCTTTTAGAATTATAATGGCGCTTATAGCACATTATGATTTAGAATTACATCAGATGGATGTAAAGACGGCGTTCCTAAATGGGGATTTGGAAGAAAATGTTTACATGGCACAAGCAAAAGGTTTTGTTGTGGAAGGAAAAGAATGTATGGGATGCCACCTGAAGAAATCCATTTATGGATTAAAACAAGCATCAAGACAGTGATATTTAAAGTTTTATAGTACAATAAGGAAGTTTGGGTTTCAAGAAAATATAGAGGACAGTTGCGTTTATGCAAAGTTCAAGAATGGGAAATACATTTTCCTAATCTTGTATGTGAATGACATCTTACTCGCTTGTAGTGATGTTAATCTATTACTAGAAACGAAGAAGTTCTTGTCCTCGAATTTTGATATGAAGGATCTCGGTGAAGCTTCCTTCATTCTAGGAATAGGGATTCACTGAGATAGAAGAAAGGGGGTTTTAGGATTATCACAAAAGGCATACTTAGAAAAGGTTCTAAAGAAATATAATATGCAAAATTGTAAGCCTTCACCTGCTCCCATTGTCAAGGGCGATATATTTAGGGAATTCCAATGTCCCAGAAACTAATATGAGATCGATCAAGTGAAAGCGGTTCCATATGCTTCAGCTGTCGGAAGTTTACAGTATGCTCAAGTATATACATGCCCTGACTTAGCGTTTATTACCGGGTTACTTGACAGATATCAAAGTAATCCAGGAATAGAACACTGGAGATTGGTAAAGAAAGTTTTGCGTTACTTGCAAGGCACAAAAGGCCTTTTGCTAACGTATAGAAGATCTAATTCCCTACACATAGGGGGTATACAGATTCAGATTATGCGGGAGATGATAGAAAGTCCACGTCAGGATATATATTTACTCTCGCAGGAGGACTATATCGTGGAAAAGTTCCAAGCAGACTGTCACTACATCGTCTACGATGTTATGAGGCCACAGGGCAGGTAAATTGGCTAAAAAATTTATGCCCGGGTTGAAAGTGGTAGACGACATACATAAGCCACTCAAGTTGTACTGCGATAATAATGCAGCAGTATGTTATGCTCACAACAATAAGTCAAGTGGTGCTGCCAAACACATTGAAATAAAGTACTATGTTGTGAAAGACAAAGTCTGGAATCATATAATTAGTCTTGAGTACATAAGTACAGAAAAGATGCTTGTGGATCTGCTTACAAAAGGCTTACCACCCAACATGTTCAGAGAACACTTAGCCAGCATGGGTTTAAGGGAAAACCTATGATTCCTGGACAATAAGGGCCTAGCTAAGAATCTATTTCAAAACAGAGAGGTGTGTTGTAGCTGTTAATCCAATGATACTAACTGTTGTGACGAGGCACGCTCTATGCGCTAATCTGTGATGGAATGGGAAAAAAAGAAAAGGATTTTAAGTTTAAGTCATAAGGTGAGATTAAGGAGGAAAATGTTAGGTTGATCTCCTCCCGGCTTGGTCCAACGACCGAGTCGAGGTCTTGATCTGCGCCCTGATCGGGGGCGCCCAACCATTCCATGGTTGGTGAGCTCCCGTCGCGCAGCGCAATATAAAGGAGGTGGGAGGCCGGGGCTCATGTCACGAGATTCACCTGAGCCGCCTTTCTCCCACCTACAGTCCTAACCCTAATCCAATCTAAGAGGGAGGCGCTAAAGCAACGGGAAGCTCCACTGACGTCTTCACCGCCGCCTCTGCGCCACCACTACACTGCGACCGACCTCAACGTTGTGACCGCGACTCCGCCGACCCGGACCGCATCACCTTCGCTATGGCTACGTCAAGCTCTTCCTCCAAGCCCGCAGATGGTCGGTGACATCTCATCTCCCTTCCTCTCTCTCTCTGGATCATGTTCTAGGAAGTTTTTATTACATATATAAGGTTGTACCCGCTAGATCTATGTCTAGGTCATCCACTAAGTCTATCACCAAGTACCAATGCGGCTGCGCCTGCATGGACCCGGGTCCAGCCGCGGTCAGGGACGTGTGCCGCTGGACGGAGTGCGGCGTCAAGCACTCCACCCTGGACCAGGTCGGGAGCTGCCCGATCCCCAGCCCGACCCCGTGGCCAGCGCTGGTGCAGGTGCCGTGGCCCGAGTCACGCGCCGTCAGGACCGCCGGCCAGCCGTTCGACGGCTTGCCTGACCCGACGTGCCGGGACACCGGCTCTTGCCCCGCCGTCGTCCTCGTCATCGGCAACAACCGCTCGCTAGCTCAAAGTATATATTCTACTCCTTCCATTCCATGTCATGTCATGGTAGCAAGCTCCCGAGCTATAAGTCAATTGTGAGACGTTTTGTTGTTCTTAATACGTGTGTTGTTGATGTGTTCGTGTTTCAACTGACAGGTCTTTCGGGTGGATTGTTTCCTGCTTCGACTTCCTCCTTGAATTTGACGGATTATTTGGATGCACTCTCCAAGATCGTTGTTGTAAGTTCCTGCCAGCATAACTGCTGGCCTTGAATATGTAGTTTGTTCTTTGTTGTGCTATGTTCATTTTCTTTTTGTTGGTAATGGATGGAGTTCTTGGTTGGATCGGTTCTCTTAGGGATCCGACACGCCGCCGTGGACAACAGAGTTCATAGAGTCAGCGTTTATCCCAGGGAATAACTTGTATATGGTGCAACCTCAGTGTTTGTCCAATTTGACGCAGACAGTTTCACCCAACGCCGGGCCCATACCCCTTCAGCTCAGTAAGTAAAATTTCATACCTTGGTGGTACACTCCTCGTTAAGGATGTATGTAAAAGGAATAGGAAAGGCACAACTGAGGACTTCGTCAAGATTGTCTGCAAGATTATAGTAGGAAATAAAATTTGTGCCTCACTTTTGTAAGCTCATGAATACACTTCCTGAGAACATTGTATCATAACTATACTGTTTGTCCTCACAATTTCGACTCTTTATATTATATATCTATTTGTTGGTTCTGTTCTCACAATTCACAAAAGGACCAACTGATCAGTTGTCCAAGTGTCATCAAATGTTGCAATGTACTAACCCTCTATGGCTGGGTAGATGGGATTTAATTTATTCCCCTAAACAAGCTATATATTAAATTTTGTTTTCATAGACAGTTTTTTCTATCCGAAATGTTTTTACGAGAATCTAGGGCCTGTTCGGCAGGACTTATTTTGGCTCCAGCTGATTTGTATGACTGATTTGTTGTGAGAGAAAAACATTGTTTTCTGTCTGGATGATAAGCTCAAGCGAACAGAGCCCTAGATCTCTAGCAAACACACACTAATTTGTGCATGCATCGTCCAACCTGCACGTTGAGCTAGCCCAAGGTCTGGAGCACACCCTCAGCAGCCGCCTGACATCAAGCTAAACTATGTGATCAAGAACAAAAATAAGCTTGTCCCTATAAGGACATCAGACCACGGGTTCGTTATCAATTTGGTGACGACTGGTTAAGTTGCTGCTACAAGAATGTCCTGCATTATCACTCGTTATTATTTATACATATGTGCATATGTGAGCAAATTAAATGATGTCATTGACTAGATGCATGTTCTGGATCGATCACTGCTTCTTGTCGCACATCGCGAGGTAGATTTGATAGGACAGAGCCCTTCCAAGTTGCTCTTAGTCTGAATGAGGGTTTGTATCAGCAAGGTCAAATCTTGCCATCTTGGTAGTGTACATATAGTTGCATCCGAAAACCGGATGCTTCTTGGAGATGAAACCACGGGTGGTTAGATGCGGAACGTCATTCTTTTGGCTCTTAAACAAACAAAGTGAGGAATTCCAATGCGAAGGCTCACATTGCTCGAACATGAATACTCTACCCAACAACTTGCATTGCTGTGCCTAATATTAGCTTTATGCAGGATTTGCTTTTTTTTTTAGAATTACACAGTATAATGTATAGGCCCACAACACGCATGCGCACTCACCCCTATGACACACGTACGCAAACCCTACCTAAGCACCTTCGAAGGACTGAGTCGGCATATCTTGAAATTAATGAAGTCATCACTGGCGTCTCGCTGCCGACGGGAAGGTCGCCTACCATTAAAAGCATAGCGTCGTTAATTTTCTAGAATAAATTCAGAAAATTGCGAACACCCGTGCCGAGCCGAGGACTTAAACCCGGATAGGGTATTTTTTTTAGAGTACATTAAGTGTGCTAACTGCTAAGAGAGTGACGGTAGATCACCTCGGCCGCTCCGGTAAACAGAGGCTTTTATTTTCGTCGAACTCCATTTCATCCCATGTCATTACCTAATAAAAGTCCAGATTGACTTATTGACAACAACACGTATACGCACGCAATATGTTACCAGCTGAACCTCCCCAGAAATTCATCACTTACGCGCGCTCTGACCATACGCATGAATCCAAACAAGTGATAATAGTCAAATCCCACAGGTTTGCAAACAGTTCGAGGTCAAGTACGTATACCGGTATATATACCACGCCATTCATTCACGGCAGTGCAGAGAGCGTCGCAGGCAGCTTCTGCATCCTGTGTTTGACTATTAATCAATCATTATCGTATGTATCGTTTAACTTCAGCGGGCGCATAACGTCTGCATCCTGTGTTTGACTATTAATCAATCATTATCGTATGTATCGTTTAACTTCAGCGGGAAGCAAAAATACTACTGTATATTGTACATGTTTTATATTAGGACCGCTGTTTACATGTTTGGAGCTCGTAAACGGTCAACCATACCTTATGGACCAAGAAATGATGTATAGAGGATTGACTAATCCACCAGTACGTGTGGACTTTCATTCCAGTGTTTATAGTACTCCATGAAGAGCCAGAGAGATCAGTTGGCAAACTATAAACAGTTCGATAATCAGCTTAACTTGAGGTCAGGTACGTATACCGGTATACCACGTCATTCATTCACGGCAGTGCAGAGAGCGTCGCAGGCCTTCAGCGGGCGCATAGCGTCTGCATCCTGTGTTTGACTATTAATAGCCTGTTCGCTGGTTGGTTTCTGGGCTGATAAGCCTGATTGATACTAATTTGTTGTGAGAAAAAAACACTGTTGACTGGCTGATAAGCCCTAGCTGAAACCAGCAAACGAACAGGCTGATTATCCTATCGTTTAACTTCATCCATGGGAAGCAACGGCACTTGTCTGTCAGCCACATGACAAATACTACTGTATATTGTACATGTTTTATATTAGGACCGCTGTTTACATGTTTGGAGGTCGTAAACGGTCAACCTTACCTTATGGACCAAGAAATGATATATAGAGGATTGACTAATCCACCAATACGTGTGGACTTTCATTCCAGTGTTTATAGATCAGTTGGCAAACTATAAACCAGGCACCTAATGCGACGCAGCATGCCTCTTTATGTGTTATATAGATGATTTGACTCTGATCAATTTCCTTTGGTTAATTGGATTTGATCACTTTATCTATATTTTGTTCTCATTTTCTTCATGCAAATCAAAGATTCCACGACTAAATTGCATGATTCAATTCTGAAGGAGCAACCAGGGAAATTCATTATTTTGGTAAAATATATTTACTGATAACATTATTGTGCTTGTATTTAGTTATACATATTATACATGTGGTAACTAACAAACTGTATCGAAGTTTTCGCATACTCTTTTCTGATCATACCAGGCAAGACATTTTTATACATGAGAGAAAAAAAACAAAGAACTTCCTTGTGATTAATGAAACATATAGTCTTAATTATAATAAGTAGGATATTTATAATACAAGTTGCTTTTTTAACCATCATATTGCAAAAGGAAGGGGGGAGGGGGGCTCATACCCTAAGTGAGTGCTCCAATGAATTTAACAAATTTTCATTTGCAACCATTAATCTAAATTACAAATCTAGGCAAGCCCTTTAAGTTGGGAGACACACATATCGAATCTGACCTAATGATCACATAATGCTTAGCTCATAAACAATATCTCCTTTGGCCTTGAACATGCTATCACTAACACTGATCAAATGCGAAAAACTTAGTGCATTACCAACTGGAGATTGCAGGTGCCATTAGTGTCGTAGATGTAGCGGATGAACTAACCTAAACCAATCAGAGAGCTAGGGATCTTGTCCCTTTGTGGAGTTGTCCTCAAGGGCGTCTCCTTTTGCCCTAGATGAGAAATCATGCTTCCAATCCACTAGAGCACTATTGATTGGTTATAGCTACATTCCATGGAGTCTTTTTTAGAGGGAGTCTTGAACGCTTTTAGAGGTAATCCTCTTATTTATTGCCTCTATGGGACGACGTCGATTCCTAGGTTAACTTAGGGTTTACTGCTGATCATGCAAACTTAATAACATATTGTGCATTCGTTAGTGGACCTAAACATTTCAGTAACAATGTGCATGAACACACCACATTCCAACATTTATGCTTTAAATTCGGGCGACCAGACATGTAAACGAAGAGGGAAATGGTATATATGGCACGAGGTAGTCGGAGGGTTTGGTCATTTTTGGGCAATTGTGATCTCAAACTCTAAATCCTCTAGAGATATGGTAATATGGACAAGACAAAATTGTTTGAAGCACGCATAGAACCGGAAGCGCCCCTTGTTTCAAAGATAGGACGACGAGTTATTCACATTAAATTTGATGGTCAGAGGAAAATTGAAAGCTAAGCAGTAGTAATATTAAGACGCTAGGGCCAAATGTTAATGCTACAGAACATTCGTCCAGAATCTAAAAAAATCGAAAGCTCTGCTCCGCGCTTGCTCTAGCACAACAACTGGCCCAACAGGCCAATCTATGCTTTGTCCTCTATCTACTCCATCTACACTGCAACAGCCGACATAAATGCACAACTCGTCGCGGCTCAGCGCGCCATCCGCCCACCCAAGCCGCCTCACGTCGACGCCCCATCGCGCATCGAGCCACGCCACGTCTGTCGTCGCACCGTGCTCCATCCCTTGCCACACCCACTCCGCCTCGTCGCGTCGTGCCCGGTCCCTGCCCCTACGTGCCATGCCCCGTCTCTCGCCGTGCCGAGGTGCTACCGATGCCGTCGTTCCCCACCAGGAGGTCGTGGCCGCTGTCGACGCCGGCGCCGCCGTGACGCTAGACCTCAGCTCGCAACATCACAAGATCCGAAGTGGCCAGACCCGGAGTGGGCTTCTTCGGCTACACCTCGTGCTTCCTTCCTTAATTCCTTCGATGTTGCAAGCGTATTTTTCAAGTGTTTCAGATGTTTCAAATGCATGTTGCGAGTGTTTCATGTGGATGTTGCAAAAGTAGATTAGGATGTTGCATATGTTGCAATGGCTATACACGTATGTTGCAAGTGTCTATTCCAAGTGTTTTAGCTGTTTCGGACGTATGTTGCACGTGTTTTATCAGGGTGTTGCATTTGTTTCACACTTATGTTGCAAGTGTTTCATCCCGATATTGCATATGATTTCACACATATGTTGTA